ACTACTACCAACTAACTAACGTTACTCCTACTAAGTACGTACTACTACCTACCTACTACTACGTACGGTCCGTACTTACTAACTACTACTAGTAGTATATATATATATATATATATATATATATATATATATATATATAAATAATAAAATACATGAATTTGCAACCTCCTTAACTTAAACTTTTAAGGGTGCGACTGTTTTTGATATTTTATTTTTAGTTACTTTCTTCACTCGAGTAAGGTGACCGCGATGATAACCCGTACAACTGAACAGTGAACTGGCTTTTCGTATGTTCCAATTAACTGTTTAACTTTAGATTCAGTTTACCAATCCACCACTACGTATCTTTAATCTAGTAAAATGTAACTTAAGAATTTTAACATCAGTTTTTATTTTATGCAAAAATGTTGTTTCTCGTTAGCTGTATTACACTTATTTACAAATTACAGCTTATTTTACTTTTAAGTTAAAACTTATGAGACTGCAACGTTAGGCCTAAGCTATCTACCTTAGTACCACTATTAGTATTACCAATACCAGAATAAATGTTCAATAAATAGAAATGTTCTCTAACCTTTAAACCGGTTCCTAAAACGATTACGTCGTACTCTTCATCCATTTTTGAAAATTAAAGAATAGTCTTTACCCAAAATATGACCCTAATCTAAAGCAAGAAACCACCAATAAGCTATATACCGGTACTCTAAACAGAAAATCTACCCCACACCCCTTTCAAAATCCCTCACTTTCAGAACTCCGTGATGACAAAACAAATGTTTGCTACGCTATAGTGAACAGCTGGGTAGCAAGAAGTCATAACATCTTCGGCGTCCGCTAAAATATATAGTTCGTTTTATTGAAATTGTCCTTTAGTAATACAATTAATGAAACATCCTTCTTAAATATATTTCGTGAAAATAAGCTATTATGGTGTTGTTTAGTTGTTTACTTAAAGTCGTATATTTTATCAAATATCAAAGAGTAAGGTTAAAATACATCTACACAATAATAACGAATTAGTTTTACATGTTGTCACATGAGGGTAGTCAAAAAAATTAATTTATTTCGAAAAAGAACAAGGTGTCATAATTTTTAATACATATACATGTATATATATAAGTAGAGGGAGAGGCAGATATATGTTACGCCTCCATTAAAAATATGTATTATTATTGTTTTCATATCCTTGATAATTCGTGAACTACATTTGCTATTGCAACTGAGTGTTTGTATTTCAGTTCTTTATTTTTTTTAAATCAAAAGTCGTGGTAGACGGTGACGTGGAATGATGATTCAGAACGCAAACAACTGAGAAATAGAGTGATATTATCATTGTTGTATTACTAGTTTTCAGAAAAATAAAGAAAAGCCGTGAGCCATTATGGCTTTTCTTCTGGTCACAGAAACAAGTGTAAAATGTTTAAAATCCTCGATACTGCTCAGTTAAAATTAAATCATTTCATATTTTTCATCTCATCTCACTTTGAACATTTATATGATGCAAAGAAGAAGTACTAAATTTATTAGGAAAAAGCATAATAAATAGATGAACTACATATTTTTTTTTAATTTCATAAACATATTGGTACAGCACAACGAACGTACAACAGTTTAATCTGTTGTAGGCAATTTTTTTAATATTTTAACTTTCACATTTTGTTTTATTTGCTGGATAGAATTTTGGCAGAGTGTAGTGAAAACAAATTACGTCTAGAAGTTTCCTTGGTGTCTAAATATGTCATGACCTTTTGAATTTGTGCGAGATGTGTGGAAAAAATACACAGCGTGGTCACAAGTAAATAGACACCACCTTTTCAGAAAAAATGAAATTTTTCTGTCATATTCACATGAAGTGATATATTTATAATTTAAT